AACATGGAAGTGGGGGTAGAGAAAGCAAATGGATAATGTAATGCAGGGTAGAGATTTGGTGGGAAAATGAGTATCTGGTTTTGAATCTCAGGAAAAGGCTAGGCAGAGAGGTGAGACAGGGATGCGGAAAAGAGCAAAGATCATTAACTAATCAAAACGCAGTTTTTTTTTTTTTTTTTTCTGACAGACTTAAGCTATACTTCTAATTCTGTGGGAGCTAGCACTTTTCAATTTGTATTAGTCCATTCTCACACTGCTATAAAGAAATACCTGAGACTGGGTAATTTTATAAATAAAAGAGGTATAATTGGCCTGTGATTCTCTGCAGGATGTACAGGAAGCACGGCTGAGGAGGCCTCAGGCAACTTACAAACATGGTGGAAAGCAAAGAAGCAGGCATGTCTTACATGAGTGGAGCAGGAGGAAGAGGGCTGGGGGCAGCTACACACTTTTTACACAACCAAGTCAAGTGAGAACTGTATCATGAGAAGAGTACCAAAGGGGGAAATCCACCTCTGTGATCCAATCACTTTCTACCAGGCCCCACTTCCAAAACTGGGGATTATAATTTGACATGAGATTCGGGCAGGGACACAAATGCAAACCATATTATTCTGTCCCTGGCCCCTCCCAAGTCTTGTGTCCTCACATTCCAAAATTCAGTCATGCCTTCTCAACAGTCCTCAGAGTCTTAACTCATTCCAGCATTAACTCACAAGTCCACAGTCCAAAGTCTTATCTGAGACAAGGCAAGTCCCTTCTGCCTATAAGCCTGTAAAATAAAAAATGGGTTAGTTATTACTTCCAACATACAATGAGGGTACAAGCACTGGGTAAATACTTCTTTTCCAAAAGGGAGAAATTAGCCAAAAGAAAGGGGCTACAGGCCGCATGTAAGTTCGAAACCCAGCAAGGGAGTCATTACATCTTAAAGATCCAAATAATCTCCTTTGACCCCACGTCTCACTTCCAGGGCACACTGGGGCAAGGGGTGGGCTCCTAAGGCCTTTGGAAGCTCCACCCCTGAGGCTTTGCAAAGTAAAGCCCCTGAGGCTGCTTTCATGGGCTGGTGTTCAAGCACATGTGGCTTTTACATGTGCATGGTGCAAGCTGCTGGGTTGATCTACCATTCTGCAGTCTCAAAGATGATGGCCCTCTTCTCCCAGCTCCCCTGGGTAGTGCCCCAGTGGGGACTCTGTGTGGGGGATCCAACCCCAGATTTCCCTTCCACGCTGCCCTAGTAGAGATAGAGATTCTCCATGAGGGCTCTGCTCCTGCAGCAGGCTTCTGCCTGGACATTTAGGCTTTTCTACACATCCTCTGAAATCTAGGCAGAGGCTCCCCAAGTCTTGACTCTTGCACTCTGAACATTGGCAGGCTTAACACCTCGTGGAAGTACCAGGTTTTATGGCTTGCACCCCCTGAAGCAGCAGCCTGAGCTGTATCTGGAGTCCTTTTAGCCACCCCTGGAGGCGGAGAGGCCAGGATGTGGGGAGCAGTGTCTTGAGGCTGTGCAGGGCAGTGGGACCCTGGTCCCTGTTCATGAAACCATTCTTCCTTCTTAGACCTCCATGCCTGTGATGGAAGGAGCTGCTGCAAAGGTTTCTGAAGTGCCTTGGAAGTGTTTTCCCCTTTGTCTTGGCTATTAGCATTTGGCTGTTCTTTACTTATGCAAATTTCTGTAGCTGGCTTGAACTCCTCCAAAAAGGCCTTTTCTTTTCTACCACATGGCCAGGCTTCAAATTTTTCAAACTCATACACTTTGCTTCCCTTTTAAATATAAGTTTCAGTTTCAGGTAATTTCTTTGCTCATGCATATGAACATAGGTTGTTAGAAGCAGCAGGCTATATCTTGAATGCTTTGCTGCTTAGAAATTTCTTCTGCCAGATATCCTAAATCATCACTCTCAAGTTCAAAGTTCTACATATCCCTAGAGCAGGGGCACAATGCCTCCAGGCTCTTTGCTAATGCATAACAAAATGACCTTTACATTAGTTCCCAAGAAGTTCCTCATTTTCATCTGAGACCTCCTTAGCTGGGACTTCATTGCCCATATCACTATCAGCATTTTGGAAACAACCATTCAACAAGTCTCTAGGAAGTTACAAATTTTCCTCATCTTCCTGTCTTTTTCTGAGCCTTCCAAATTGGTCCAACCTCTACCTGTTACCCAGTTCCACACCCAAATTCAAAGTTTCAGGTATCTTTATACCAATGCCCCTTTCCTTGTTACCAATTTTCCATATTAGTTCATTCTTGCACTGCTATAAAGAAATACCTGAGACTGGGTAATTTATAAAGAAAAGAGGTTTAATTGGCTCACAGTTCTACAGGCTGTACAGGAAGCATGGCTAGGGAGGCCTCAGGAAACTTACAAGCATGGTGAAAGGCAAAAGGAAAGTAGGCATGTCTACATGGCCAGAGTCAGGAGGAAGAGAGAGAGGTGGGAAGTGCCACACACTTTTTAAACAACCAGATCTAGTGAGAGCTCTATCATGAAAACAATACCAAAGGGGGAAATCCACCCGCATGATCCAATCACCTCCCACCAGGTCGCACCTCCAACACTGGGGATTACAACTTGGCATGAGATTTGGGCAGGGATGCAAATCCAAATTATATCACAGTTCTTTCTGAAATGTGGCTCATGTAGCTTCCTACTATTTGAACTTTCCTCTTTTTCTCCTCATGTCTGCCTACCCGTTCTGTTCATATTTCACCGTCAGAATCTCTTTCTGGTTTTCTTAGTGACTTTCAAGATGTCCTCTTAACTAGGAGCAGAACCTGTCAGATATGTTAACATAACTTTATCTGCTTTCAAATTCTGTGACCTCTTATTGACTGTGAGCAACATATTTTAACTTCTGTGAGTGACAGTAGAGGAAAATTGTGATGAGCTGATGTCAGACTGCGTTTTTGGAAAGCAACTAATCCTCTCTGAGCCTCCAGGAAGACATCCTCTCTCTATCAAATGCAGACTTTTAGAAATAATACTCTCTCAGCCACATATCCCACCCCGTATTATTATCACATGCCATTACTGTCTGGTAGTTATTTATCTTCATATCATCTTGGCTAGATTATGAACTTTTAAAAGGCAAGCCTTCTGCCTTTTACCTTTATATTCCCATGCATGCTTTGTATGCTTAAGTGGTTAGTCATTTAATATATTTTGAAAGAGATAATGTATCCATGTTGTTAAGTTAAAATAATCCATGGAAGGCTTCTATTACAATGACTGGCATATAGTAGATATTTAGTTAATTATATTAGAGCACTCAGTCAATATGGGGAATTTTACCTCATTTCCTCCTCTTTAATTGATTCTCCCATTTCACATACATTGTTCTTTGACTGATTTTAGGAGCCTATTTATTTATCTATTTTTCATTTTGAAGTATTTTTTTGACTTACAAAGAAGTCACAAGACTAGCATAAGGAAATCCCACATTCCATGGATGTATGCTTAGTACATTGTATCAAGGAGGCACAAAACATCCCTTTACTGGTGGTGTTAATTTTGATCATTTGATTAAGGTGCCATCTGCCAGATCTTTCTACCATAAAGATACTATATTAGTTCATTTTCATGCTGTTAATAAAGACAAACCCAAGACTGGGTAATTTATAAAGGAAAGAGGTTTAATTGACTCGCAGTTCAATATGGCGGGGGAAGCCTCACAATCATGGCAGAAGGCAAATGAAGAGCAAAGTCATATCTTACATGGCAGCAGGCAAAGAGAGCATGTGCAGGGGAACTCCTGTTTGTAAAACCATCAGATTTCATGAGACTTATTCACTATCATGACAAAAGCACAAGAAAGACCCACCCCCATGATTCAGTTACCTACCATTGGGTCCCTCCCACAACATGTGAGAATTATGGGAGCTACAATTCAAGATGCAACTTGAGTGGGGACACAGCCAAACAATATCAGATACTTTTTTTTTTTTTTTTGAGATGGAATCTCGCTCTGTCACCCAGGCTGGAGTGCAGTGGCATGATCTCAGCTCACTGCAACCTTCACCTCCCGGGTTCAAGTGATTATTCTGCCTCAGCCTCCCAAGTAACTGGGACTACAGGCACATGCCACCACACCCGGCTAATTTTTCTATTTTTAGTAGAGATGGGATTCCACCATATTGGCCAGGCTTATCTCAAACTCCTGACCTCATGATTCCCCTGCCTCAGTCTCCTAAAGTGCTGAGATTAGAGGTGTGAGCCGCTAACACCCAGCGCAGATACTATGTTTTTCCATTGTAGTTCATAAGTGTCTGGTGGGGAAATACTGTAAATATCTTACTTCTCATCACATTTTTGCTCTCTTAAAGTTTAGCATCCATTGATAATTGTTTCTTGAAACAAATTATCATAAAGTTTACTGTGTAGTGACTTTTCTAGTCACATCATTTCTTCTATATCTATTAGTTGGCATTTTACCATAATAAAGAGTTTTTCCTTCCTCTTCATTTAGCTTTTTATTTATTTGTTAACTTACATTAGTATAGACTCATGGAATCTTATTTTGTTAAATTGATTACGCATCAGAATCATTTTTTTGTTTGTTTGTTTTTTTTCTTAAATTGTACAGATGGTAAAATTGGATGGGTGGCAGGGATGGCTTTGAGTACTCCTGTTTCAGTTTGAGGGTGTGCCAAACAGCAGGCCCAGAGGATAAGCATTCATGTGGTTTACACCAGTTTAACAAGGACCAACATGAAAGAGAAAATAGTTGCAGATTACTCTAAAATATATTGTTTCCTCTCTGTTTCAGGAAATAAAAAGGGTCAGTTGGAGGTAGTTTAGTCATTAAGGCCACTACAACTTCCTCTCTTAACTCTTAGCAGCTGGAGATGTTTTGCTGTAGACACAGTTTGAACATAAATGGGAAAGGAGAGTCAGTATCACTATGTTGGCACAAGATGGCAGCAGTCAGCCATTGATTTTGCAGCTCAAGGCCTACAGATTTTAAATTAATGGTGTCTTTTGTCTTCGCAGGGACTTCAGTACTAGTGCTAATAACATTCAGATTGATAAAACCAAGCCTTTGTGGCACAACTATTTCTTATGTGGACTTAAAGGAATTCAGGTAAATTGGTTTATAAGACACTTACTACCAGTTGAGATTATCATGTGTATTCTGTCAGATTTATTTTATTTACTACATCTTTTTCATCTCCTTACAGTACTAACCGATGCTTCTGTTCTATTTTGCTAGTTTGTGTTTCAGAGAGTGGGGAAGATATGACTGTTTTTGGGGTAGTGTTCACAGGGGGCAGTAGTGGTTTTCATATAGCTGGCTTTTCATAAATAGGTGCATTTGACAAACATCTGTCTGGTTTTAAAATCTTTGTTTAAACATACCTTTGAGGATATGTTTTAGTACTATTATTTACATGTATACTTGGGATATATAGGGGTATACTGTAATAGGATTTAGAGTCAGCCCAGGTTTGAATCTGGGCTCTTCCCAGCTGTGGTAATTTAACCTCTTAAGTCTCAGATTTATCTGTAAAATGATGTCATTGCTAAACTGATGAAGAGTTGTTAAAAGAATTACATAAGGCTTGATAGTAGCCATTTAATAAATGGTAGCTAGTATTGTTATTGCTACTTCAGATGGGATTAAAAAAAGACGTAATGAAATGTATTAGTGTAAGTATTTTCCTAGAAACATTGAATAATTACTTTGAAAATGTCTAATGTTACATTAGAACAAGAACAAGAAAATAAAATGTTTTCACTCTCTCTCATAGTTGAAAAAGTATCAAGGACCAAAAGAAAATTGATATTTGCTGTTTTTAGAGCCACTTTTATATTGCAATAATTATTTTAGATATAGTGACTTGTATAGAATCACAGGTAGGACAATAAGCAGTAAAGTTTGCCTTTGTGAGCTAAAAGTAAACAAACAAACTGACCGGTGTTTTAGAGAGCTTGTGTTCCTTACTGCCTGGCAGTCCTATTTGAAACTTTGTAATGAGCAGCTAGGACTTAGTGGCACGTCCATTACAGAAATACATCAAATTTATTTCTAACGTGTAGTTCTATACTGTAACAGTGGTGGTTTTTGTTCTTAAAGTTAATGAATTCATTTCTTTCTTTCTTTTGTGTTTTCCTTCCTCTCAGACACATGGTAATAACTTACAGGAAAAGTTATTGGCAGGTTTTAAATCTTCAGATCATCTGGCTTATATACATTAGTAGGAATTACAGTATTTGGAAGCATTTGCCTGGCAAATGCAATTTTAATCTTCCTTGTAAAAACATGCCTTTTTGCAGCATATGGGTAAAGTGGCCTAAATAATGCATGTTGCTTTGTGTTGTTTTTGAGCATTTCAGGTTTTAAAGCCTTCCTGTTTGGTTTGACAACTTATGTGCAAAAGCAAACTTATCCAATAAGCTTTTGGCAGAAAGATAATTTAAATGCTAGCCTGTTCAGAAACTTTCAGATTCAAATACTAGAAAGTTTCAGAGGATAATTCGTTTATATTAAATTGAACATGTTATCCTTTTGGGATAGAGCTATTACAGAATGTGGCATATACCCATTTGCATTTTGAATTTGTTATACGTTTTCATTTAAACATTGCATGATAAGTGCTTTTTTTTTTTTTTTTTTTTTTTTTTTTGAGATAGAGTCTTGCTCCGTGGCCCAGGCTGGAGTGCAGTGGCATGGCGCTATCTCTGCTCAGTGCAAGCTCTGCCTCCCAGGTTCACGCCATTCTCCTGCCTCAGCCTCCCAAGTAGCTGGGACTACAGGCACCCGCCACCATGCCCAGCTAATTTTTTGTATTTTTGGTAGAGATGGGGTTTCACTACGTGAGCCAGGATGGTCTCAATCTGACCTTGTGATCCGTCTGTCTTGGCTTCCAAAGTGCTGGGATTACAGGCGTGAGCCACCGCACCCAGCCGGCAGAAAAGATATTTTTAAAAAATCAGATTGTCTGGGAACATATATACTCAGTCCACTTCAACTTTATTTATTTATTTATTTATTTATTTATTTATTTATTTATTTATTTTTGAGATAGAGTCTTGCTCCGTGGCCCAGGCTGGAGTGCAGTGGCATGATCTCAGCTCACTGCAACCTCTGCCCCCTGGGTTCAAGCAATTCTCCTGCTTCAGCCTCCCGAGTAGCTGGGATTACAGGCGCCTGCCACCGCGCCCAGCTGATTTTTATATTTTTAGTAGAGACGGGGTTTCACCATATTGGCCAGGCTGGTCTTGAACTCCTGATTTCATGACCCACCCACCTTGGCCTCCCAAAGTGCTGGGATTACAGGCATGAACCACCACACCTGGCTGATAAGTTCTTAAGTATGATTCCCACTCAAGACACCCATGTTTGATCAGTTTATAGTTAAATATATTGTATTCTTCAAGTTTTTTTTTTTTTTTTAAACAAACTGTCTAATATTCTGTATGAAAGGGCATTGGCAACAGTACAGTTTCAGTTTATAATTTGTATTTCTGGAAGGAAATTTTTAGATGACTTGAAATCAGAAAGAGAAGTATACTCAGCTAAATTTTTTCTTAGTGTGGTATGAGAGTTTTGCTAGCTAGGACAGACAGATGAAACATTAAGGAAAAATTTTATTTGCAGAATTTTGTTGTTATTTTAGTTATTGTAACTAGTTTATTGAAATTCTCCCTTGTATAATATGTAGATGAAATGCTTAATTAAGTAATAGTATTTCATATGTTAATCTTTAGTCATTTGAGTAATTTGCAAAGACTATGGTACTTTTTCTTGAGAAGGAGATAGACTTAAATTTATTTGTAAACTTAAACCACAAAGGTTATGATACGATATCATTCCAAAGTGTCCTAGTGTTAGAAATTCGTGTAAGTATGCTAGAGCTTTCCATATTTAAATCAGAATCTGATTATTTCTTTGGGCTTTCCTATTTGTAGAAATAGAGTTTCCTTGACTTGTTTAGGGTCTGTATTCTCATTTGTGGCTGAATTCTGATTTCACTGTCTTTAAAGCTACCATATGGCTAAACTGTATCTATAAACTGTAGTAAAAATCTGGATTTTCTCATCTAGCTGGCATATTAAATCACAATGACAGTTTGCTGGCTCAGGTTTCTAACTGCAATGGAGAAGTTTTCAAACAGGAATCAGAGACCTGGGCCCTACTCTCATCTCCCTGTGGGTCATCTTGGGAAAATTTCTTCATCTCTTGGTGCCTAGGTTTTTTCATAAGTAAAACAGAACTGAGAAAGTTTGGAACTCTTTTTTTTCAGAGAATCTTCTAAAGTAAGGCACTCTTTAGAAACAAGTCACTGCTTGGGGCTTGGACTTTTGTAATAACAGAATGCTGGAGATGTGCTGCACGGAGATTTAAATTACCGCATAGATAATTGTATATTTCTTGTCTTGCTGCTTGGCAAGTTGAATTATAATTGTTTTATGTTTTTTCCTTATTTGTTCAAATCAATTAATACTCAAGAAAAAGAACATTCAAAGCAATTTTATATTTTTTCCATATTCAAATCAATTAATATTCAAGAAAAAGAACATTCAAGGCAAGAAAATTAAAGGCATTTAAAGGAATTACCCTGTGGCCAAGAGTCGTTAAATAAAATGTCACGATTGAATTGCGCAAGTAGTTTCTATAACTATTATAAGTCTATTGATAGACTTTTGTTCTCTGGGGAATGAAGGAAGCTTTCACTACTCATTGAATTCAATACTGAATTACTGTTGCTGTTTTTCCTTATATTCTTAGGAACACTTTGGTCTTAGTAACCTGACTGGAATGAACTGCCTGGTAGATGGAAATATCCCACCAAGTTCTGGCCTCTCCAGCTCCAGTGCTTTGGTCTGTTGTGCTGGCTTGGTGACGCTCACAGTGCTAGGAAGGAATCTATCCAAGGTAACTATGTTTGATAGGAAACCTCGTAGAACCCTCTCCTTCTAAAACCATTAGCGTCCAAATCTCAGATCAGAATGCCTTCCTTGACTGAAAAACTGTCTTCTTTAAAAGGACTGCACATGTGGGCGAGCATTGTAACTTAACAAGTGATAAATCACTATAAAGTAGCTTATACCCTCCAAACAGTGCATGAATAGATCTGTGAATAACTGTATAAAAATACTTTGTATTGGCCTGGCGCGGTGGCTCATGCCTGTAATCCCAGCACTTTGGGAGTCCGAGGCGGGCGGATCACGAGGTCAGGAGATCGAGACCATCCTGGCTAACACGGTGAAACCCTGTCTCTCCTAAATATACAAAAAAATTAGCCAAGCGTGGTGGCGGGCGCCTGTAGTCCCAGCTACTCGGGAGGCTGAGGCAGGAGAATGGCGTGAACCCGGGAGGCTTGCAGTGAGCCGAGATCGTGCCACTGCACTCCAGCCTGGGCAACAGAGCGAGACTCTGTCTCAAAAAAAATAAAAAGATAAAAATATTTTGTATTAAATATGGAATTTGAATGTATGGATATCATTTTAGATCACCTCATTAACAAGTTAAATTTAGGGCAAGAAATTCTTCCCCTCATGGTTGAGACTGCTTATTTTCACCCAAAACCTTAAATTAAAAATTTGACAAGTAGTGGGTTACAAAGGTAAAGACTAGGTAATAAAGGAACTGAATATGCTAGCAGATTAGTCACAGAAATAAACTTTAAAATACTGCATTACAAAGAGGAAATGCTTATTTAAAGGAAATATAAATTGTACAAGAGGTCAGAAAGCCTCAGGTTTATAAGTTCACATAAATCTCTGACTCTGCAGTTTAGAGCAGGTGTGCTTAGCTTTAATTAATGCTTTAGCATTCTGGTTCAAATAAAATGTTATCATAGGTTCTTTTTACCCCATGTACATACACTACCAGGTTTACAGATGGTTTGGGCAGATCAAGAGAAAGGCAGCCACATGCTTAGTCTCTTTTAAGCATGTTTTAACTTTCAGTTTGAAAATTTTATATATAGGAGGAAAGGCAGAAATGAAGGAGAAAGCAAAGTTTCAGACAGAATCCTTCTTTTTAGCTGTCCTGTGTAAGTATACATTAATTAGCCCTTAGTAAGCAATGGCTGGTTGGGAGGGAAAGGGGGCTTACATATTATTATTATTTTTTGAGAAGAGAAGAAGCAAGGGACAGGAAGTCCATATGTAAAATGTGTTTCCCCTGGTACAACTTTTAATCTGATTTGTTTATTTACTCATTTGTTTGTTCATCATTCAACCATTATTTCTTTAGTGGCTATTTTGTGCCAGATAATGTTCAAGCCATTGGAGATATAATAGGTATAGTCTCAGCTTTCATTGTGCTTATAATCTAAAAGGGAAAAGAGACAAGTAAATAGGCAACTGCAATAGAATATAGTGAGTGGATAAGTAGTTTTCTATGGGAGCAGATATAACCCAGATTTAGAGAGCATAGGACATCTAAATGGAGCCACCAACGATTCAATGAATTGTGGATATTGATGGCATAACACTGATGACATCAGATAAGCATGTATTGCGTGGAGAGAACATCATGTGGAAATGTCCAGAGTAAAAGCAATCATGGCTTTTTGGAGTAACTAAAAAATGTCTCAGTATGGCTGAAGCGTACAGCAATTTGGATAACAGAGCAGGAGATCAGATGCTGGGCCTTGTAAACTTTGTTAAGGAGTTTAGGCATCATCTTCATAGCAGTGGGAAACCATTGCAGGATTTTAGGAAGAGGGTAAGGTGTTCATATCTGTATTTTAGAAAGATCTCCCTGGCTATATTACAAAGTCTGCATTTCAGGGTTTTAGCAGTAGGGAGATGATTTGGTCTAGAGAAGTAGCAATGAGAATGTTTAGAATTAGATGGATTCAAGATCTCAGAATCAGTAGGACTTGATCATTGATTGGGCATGGGAATGGGGAACAGCAAAGACTCAAAGATTATATTGGTGTCTGGCTTGGTATGATTCATTGGAATAAGAGATATGGGGGAAAAATAGGTTTGAGCGGAAGCTGAAATGTTGAGTGTGAGGAATCGTTGGGCATACTGATGGAGTTATTTAGTATTTAGTTATGAAAAAATATGAAGGTCAGGAGGAGATCTGGACTTGAGATGGTGCATTTGAGAATCATTAGTTTATCATCGTTTTTGAAGCCATAGGAGTAGATCAAGATACCTGGTGGTGGAATATAGGTGGAAAGATAAGGAAAACTAGAACAGAGCCCCAAGAAACATGAACATTTGAGGAATGGGCAGAGTAAGAGATGTCCACTGAAGGGATTGAGAAGTAGTCCAGTAAGTATGAGAGAAACCAGAAAGGTGAGGCAACAGCAAAGACAAAGAAGATAATGTTTCATGAAAGGAGTGGTAGTGTTGTCATATGCTTCTGAGAGGTTACCACAAGTTCTGAGAAGTATCCGTTGACTATCACAACAAAGAAGTTGTACAAAACTTTGGCAAGAGCAGTTTTAGATGGAAATGGCTTGAAGAGTCTATAAGGGGTAAGAAAGTGGTAAAGTTCAGTGGATACAAAAAGTCTGGCGATGCATGGAAAAAAATAATTTGGTATTTGGAGGAGGGTGTGAAGTCAAGGAATTCATTTCACTTTTAATGGGAGGATTGGTGAAACTTAGTTTTTCTATTTTTCTGGTGTTTTGATAATATACATATCTAAGAAACAGGAAGGAAAGAAGATAAAGAGAAACACTTGAACCCTTGGAATTAATTCTGATTGTCTGTTTTCAAAGTCAGAAATAGCAAATACATTTTTTATCAGAGTATCTTACTGCAGTGCCTAAGCAAAAAGGAAACAATATGTATATTCTGGCTTTCTCAGCTAGTCTAAGTTGTACTAACAATATTTATATTTTCTAAGGACTGAGCATAATTATTTGGAGAATTATTTTTTTCTGGAGTGAGACAGAATCTTGAATGAAAGGAAGTCTGTAATTTGTTCAGAGTCTTTAATTTAAATGCCATGTGATTTTACTCTTGTAAAAATCATAGAATCTAAGAACTCAAGGGACCTTAGAGATGAGCTAGTTCAAAATGCTCCTTTTACTGATGTATTAGTATTACCATAGGAAACAAATGACATGTTAGGTATAACTGAAGAGAGTTTAATAAAGAGACTTTTACAGAGGTGTGGGTAAGGTCAAGGGAACTAACTAGGAAGGGTTCTCTTGTGAAGCTGGAAGCCATTATACTTTAGGAGCTGCGGATATGGAGTAATGTTGCCAGAAATGCAGCAAGGCAGAGAAACAATGACACAGGTGAAAATGGCAATGAGTGGGAATAGTTGAGGGGAATTCTCTATAGAGGTCAGCCTCTTGGGGTAGGGGAAGTGTGAGAATAGAGGGACAGAGGGACAACCGAAAATAACCAGCCTATTTGATAAGGACACTAAGTCCCACAACAGATTGGTGACTAAAGCCTTTCCTATTATTTTATACTCAGTAAACCCCATTCAGTTGCAGACAACAATTACTGCAGATGGGATATGATAAGTAGATGTAGAACTTGTTAATTCATTAATACACTAAATGTTGCATATCTGAAACCAGAGAACAGTATGACTAATCACCCAGAGAATCTGGAAGCCAGAAATTATGAATCAGAATGTTGCTGGTACAAGAGAGTATGATGTGGTAAAAGATCTATGAAAAAAGAAAATCTAGAGACTTCTGATTTCAAGATGTCAGGATAAGACTTATCTAGTCTTTTTCTGTGTCCCTAAATTAATCTTATTAATCTTCTTTTCTCAAAAATAATTTCCAAACAACAGGGAAAATAAGAAAAGGAAGCACAAGCTTTATCTTCGGTAAACCAAGGAGACATAAATAACCATAAACCACAAAATACAGAGATGGAAAGTGGATAGAGGAATGGTACATGACTTAACAGAATGGAGAAAGGTCAGAGCCAAGTGCCTGTGGAGGGAGTTGTAGATGGAAAGGCAGCTGACTCATCCCACAGCTCTCTGGCAAGCCTTAGGAAGAAAGCAGGGTAATATGATGGGTGAGGATTTATCTGAAAGCCTTTATGAGGACTATTTAGACCCTAAAAGGCCTCTCTTCACTTGGGACCATTTCCCCCTACTGTTGCAGGAGTCTCTAGAGAAACCACCAGAGATCATTTGTACTTGGGGGCACTGAGCACTGAGAAAGGCAGGACGAGAAAGACTTGAAAACCGGGAGATTAGAGGACTTCTGCATCTGAACAGTGAAATCCTTAGCTTCATTCTTCTAGTCATTACTGGCACACTGGCAACCTCACCACCCTGCACTCCAGCAGGAATGTTGGAGGATCCTTCTCAAAGGAAATTGAACCATCCCAGAGATGGTTCATACAGATACGGACATTTGGTGACCCCCTTCTCCAGCTCCTCTATGACCCTGTTAGAAGCCCATTTATAAAGCTTCTAATAAGCTTTTTAGTGACTCACTCTTAAATATGATAGGGCATCAACGGATAGTAAGATTTTGGAAGAAAACCTCCAAAATGAACCAAACAAACAAAAAAACAGAAAACAGGAACCCAGAGGAAACAGAGACAATGCTGAGAGCAGAAGAATGCTTCAAAGACATGATGTCCTCAGAGAGATAAAAGAAAATGTTAAGTCCTTAAAAAGTAAGAGTGTTACTTTTTTTAAAAAGGAGCAAACAATAAGGTAGAGTTTTTGCATATTAAAAATGTGACAGCAAGACAAAATTTAGCAAAAAGATTGCAATTGCTGGGCATGGTGGCTCGTGCCTGCAATCTTAGCACTTTGGGAGGCTGAAGCAGGAGGATTACTTGAGCCCAGGAGTTCAAGACCAGCCTGGGCAACACAGTGAGACCTTTTCTCAAAAAAAGAGAACAGACTGGAAGAACTCTCTGATATAGTAGGGAATAAAAAAGCTGGACAATAAGAGAGAAAAGCAGGAAAATTTATGG